TGTACTGAAAAGTTAGTTGTTAAAATTCTAAACAGTTCATTTAAAGACAGTCGTGTTCAAAAACTATGTTTTACAAGTGATAAAAGAAGATTTAAGTAAAATTTTGAAATAAAGTTTATTGATTTTCTTCAAAAACGGTTTCAAACCTTCTTTTAACCTTAAAGAAATCTAAAAAGAATTTAAAAGTTTTTCTAATATCACCACCACCTTTACTTATATTATTTTTTAAAAACAAATAAATAAGTTTTTTTATAAAATAAAAATTTTTCAGTCTTTCTAAAATCATAAAATTCTGTTCTTGAAAATCTTGTTTCATCAAAATCAAATGTATCTAAGAATTCAGTAAATTTAACAGATTTCATTGTTTTTAAAATAAAATTAAATAATCTTAGGTCAGGACAAATAACCAAATTTTCTTTATCTTTAAACAAAGGAAAAATATTATCTTCAAATGTCTCAGTATCAACTGTATATTCCAAAAACATTAATTCTGCAGTCTCGGAAACATCTTCTGGTGATTCTTTATTATATTCAAATAGTAATTTTTTAATTAATTCTTCTTTAATTTCAAAGTAATTAAAATTCATAGTTAATATATTATCTTCAAATCTTTGAATGAAATTTTCAGAATTATAAGTTTCATTTTTAAGTGTAAACGCATCTTTATTTGGAACATAATTGAATAATTTTTCAAACACAGTCTTTTTAATAGTTATTTTTTCATATTTTTTAATTTTAAGAAAAATATATAAATTAATACAATTCCTTGTTAAATTTCTTTGAATTTTATAAGTTTCTATTAACTCTTTCAAATAACTTTCTTCACTTTCAATATTATTTTCTTCATTGTTTGATGCCATTAAAACTGTAATAAAAAAGAAACAGTTTTTTATAAATCTCATCATTTTATAACCCTTTATGTAATTTTCATTAAATATCTTTTATGATTTATTAGAAATTTACATTTTCAAATAAATCAATTTAATTAATTTTTTTTATATTAAATTAAACATGTTTATTGATTTGTTTTATAAATTAATTTATTTAATGTCAAATAATTAATTATTTTAAGAAAATTATAATTAATTTTAATTATTAATCAAATTGTTTTTGACAGTTATCAGAAAAATGAAAAATTCTTAAAAAGATCAATATTCACTAAAGTTTGTATTTAAAATATTATATCTTTCTTTATGTGTGTTTTTTAAAGTCTTTTTTATCTCGTTAAATTGTATATTAATGTTATCTTATCTTGACATTTTATTGATTAATTTTTACTCAAAAAACTATTAGATATTTTAATTATGATTTTTAAATAACAAAAAATTATACTATGTTATTTTTATTTCTTAAAAGATAATTTAATAAAACACCTAAATGGGGATTTAATACATTAGAATATGTTAATAAGTAAAATTATCTTTTATTAAAGTCAATTAAAAATAATGATAATGAAACAATTTAGATTTAACATTAATAAATAAAAATACAACTGTTTTAAAAATAATTAAAAAACGTTTTAGGTGTTTAAAAGTAAAATTTTTTTAAGAAAAATTTTAATAAGTATACAGTGGCTTTCAAAATAAAAAGGCACCCTGTTTTCTTCCAAGTGTAGAAAATCTATTAAAAACATATAATTTTTATTGCTTATAGTGAATTAACATTTTTTAAACTTAAACTAGTTTTATTTTGTTCAAAAAATACAATAAAAAATTTTATAAACATTATATTTCAAAATAAAAGACACAATAAATTTGATAATGAGTATGTTTACCTTTTGTTTTGTAAACCTTTAGAGTATGTTTATGAAAACTATTAAAGTTATTCTGCAACATATTTACATCAATTGAATATCAAATTCCTGATATTCTTTCTTTTAATTCCTCTTTGTTTAATTTACCGAAAACAGCTAGGTTTCTCTTTATATAAGTCTAAATATAGTCAATCGGGTTTAAATCAAGACTTTGTAGAGGCTATTCCAATAAATTCACTTCCATTTTATCAAGATAATTCATAACAATACTGGAGGTGTGTTTTAGATCATTATCCCGCATGAAAATAAAATCATTTATCCAGTGCTTTTTTGTAAATTTAAAAAAATCTTGTTTAAATTGTTTTATACTGTTCATCAGTTATCTTGTCTTCAATGAAAACTAAATCTAAAACACTATAGTATGAGATTACACCCCATATCATAACACTTCCTTCACTATGTTTTACTGTTGGTAAAATGTTTAAAGTTTCATGTTTATTTATAGGTAGATATCGAACATATCTTGCACCGTCACTATTGATCAAGTTGATCTTTGATTCATCTGAGAAAACTATTCATTTTAACTCATCATCAGTAACACTTAAAAATTTTTCAGATAATCTAAACCTCTTTTCAATATTTGCATCCCTCAATAATGGCTTCTTTAATAAATAAGTTATGATAAAATCATTATTTTTGAAGAATATAGATAGGGTTGATTGATTGACATTTAATTTAAACTTACCTGATGATTTTCTTTGTGGGATTAGTAATGTAATAAAATGATCTTTGGCATGTTATTTGACTAATAACATTTTATGATTTAGTTGAAGTAACTCTTTTCTACCAGATCCCTTTTTTCTCTTATAAAAAACACCATCTTTTAACTTTAAAATATACCTCTGGACTGTTTTCAAAATATATTCCTTTTATTCGAAATTTATGTCTGGTTAAAACCAGACTTAATATCTTCTTCAATAAAAGCTTTTTGTCTTTCTGATAAATGTTTTGTTATATAAAAATTTATTAAATTTTATTTTTTAAACTTATTTTTAGAAGGAATTTTTTACTACCTTTTTATTTTGAAATATAATATTTATAAATTTTTTTATTCTTGATTATTTTATTATATTTTTAAACAAAATAAAATTAGTTTAAGTCTAAAAAAACATATTAATTTACTATAAGTAGTAAAATTTATGTGTTTTTGATAGATTTTTTACAGTTAGAAGAAAAAAAGGTACCTTTTTATTTTGAAAACCAGCATAAATAAATTTATAAAATTTTAAGTTTACCGTATCTTGCCTTAAGAATATACCTTTTTAAATTTAATTTATAAGTATAATTTTTTTGGTTTTTATTATTATAAACAGAGTTAAAAAATTTAATTTAAAAAATTTTTTCTAATAAATTAATCTGGTGGTTAAGTAATCGTTGATATCCTATAAATTTATTAACTTTCAGTGAATTGTTAAAATTTTTTATTAGATAAGTAAATTTTTATTTAAATTAAAGAATTAAATTAATTGTATTAATATATTATTAAATATAAAAGTTTTTATTAAACAATATTCTTTTTTATTATTGTTATCTTTTAGAGATTTAAAATTTAAAACAAGAATATAAATAAAATAGTAAGATAAGATATTTTAAAATAAATAATATTAATAAAAATTGTTAGAAAAAT